AAGTGTATTTGTTGTGGAACTTTTGATTTAGATTATGTTATGATATGACAGTACGTTTACGTGATCACAATTAAGTCAAAAAATATTTAGTAATATATTTAGTATATTTCAATTTTTGAAAAAAATCTACACAAATGAGATCCGATATTTGTAAGTGTAAGCATATTAGTTGAACATGTTTCCTCTGGAAGCCAAATTCGGGCCAATAACAGAGCCAATGTTTAATTGTTTCTTTTTCCTGTACTATTCCACAGTTTCTGGGATAAGTATTAAAGAGACTCCGCGGTTTCTCTGCATGAGTTCCAATACATCAATTCTTTGACTGAGGTCCCAAAAGACTTATGATGACATATGACTTAAATAACTTAACTTAATAATAAATAAAAGTATTAATTAAAGTTTTAATAACATATAGTCTCAGAAATGGAAAGATTATCTCCCTAACGCATAAGTAATGTAAACATCTGATGTTATAAATAAAAAATGAAAGTAAAGTAATAAATGAAAGTACTTAATGTATATTGTTGGTCAAATACAGAATATATAGAATATGGTCAAATATATCAAATATAGAAGTTGAAGTAAAGAAACTAATTAAACAAACTATTAAGCTGGCCATATAGTTACTTTAATGATGAGATTTAGTAATGTAATAATGTTCATTTTAAGGTGTTTAAAACTAAGATAATTCAAAAACTTTCCTTACAGCAGCTTTAATTAATTATTATATTTACTTTTAATTAAATTGTAATGAAAGTTTTAATGACTACTTTGTAGATAATTGTTGGGATTAAATACGCCAAGTCTTAACAACAGTTAGTGCTTTAATAACCAGAAAAGAACACTTAATTCGTATTATTTTGTACATATAACAATAGAGAATGTAGTGAACTGAATTCTATATATCTCACAAATACTGAAGATCAGTTCGAAAAAAATGTTTCTTTATCAATATCTTTATGACAAACTGTCCTTACGTTGATAACTCGAATGAGAACAATTATCTCTAAAGTGAATCTGTTCAATAATATTTATTAGTTTCTATTTAATAATGTTTAAGCCGCGTTTAACAATCAATCATTGAAAGTTCTTTATTGTTGAATTAACAATATACGTATTCGAATAAATGAGGTAATCAATTAGTAAAAAACGGGATTATAATTACACAATACAAATGAATAGAATAAAATATAATAATAAATACAATACAAAAACGGATGGAGTATTGAAACTAGTGGTATTACTTTCTAGTATAAGTATTCGGTATTTTTTATGGGGTTACTTTTAGTGTAAGCAGAAAAACCGACGAACATGGCGAGATCCATTCGTTACTCGAACTGATCGACTTAATTTCACTAACCAAAATAACATATTTTAAATTTTCTATTATTACACTCTAAAAAATTCTAAACTGTAAAAAAGTTTAATATTGTGAAATCTTACTTAAGAAAATTTAGAAATGGTTCTCGAAACAAGAGATTATGTTTAATATCAACATGGTTCAAGAATGCTTATTTCAAGGAACAATTATTGGAGAAACTATTGCGATGGTAATAAAGTAAAAAACATTAAACATCTTTTCTGTTTCAGGTGATAGATATCTCACCACAATCACGTTGAGATAGATATCTCAACGTGACTTTATCGAGGTCACCACAATTTGTGAAATGAACGAAGTAGTTTAGCGTGAGTTAGTAATATGATGCGGACAACCAGGATCATGTTGTAGCACAACTAATTAATTAATCTAAGTTGGCGACCATACGTACCTACCCACCAAACGCTAGATTAACTGATTTACTATTACGACTTTAGAGTTAAATATAAAAAAACAGAAAATATTTGTTTACGTTTTAGAGATGTTTCTTGTTTAAGAACTTTATAGAACTCTATAGATTTATGAATCCTCACTCGGTGATTTACGACGCAGCTTTTCCAAAATGTATACCTGTTAATATACGACTTCATTAATCAAATTTTAAAAACCCAAATATTTTTTTGTTTATAAAAATGTTTTCGAATATTATAATTTTATTAACGTATTTTAAAGTAAATAAAATAAAAATAACGTGAAACATCATTTCATAAAAAATGTTTTGCAAAAAATGTGTCAAAAATCGTTGATGACAAACCGAGTCACATGTCTCGGTGGTTTTCAAGTTTCAGCAGAAATTAATTAAGTTTTTTACCTTAAAAATGTTTTTAAATATTTTTACTAATTTACAGCTATACGCATATTGAGCATATTGATCTATAAGAGGGGCTGGTTTCAATATCAAAACGAATAATAATCACAAATAAAAATCTATTTATATATTTTCAGGTTTTGCATTATAACGCATCACCAAACATTTTAGAGATTGATTGATTCATTGAGGCATGGACGTGACTTTTAACAGCAGATGACAAGATTTTTTTCATCTTCGCGAATTTAATAACTTTTAATTAATACTTATAATGGGTTTACCCGTAATAATACTCGGATTAAAAACTCGGAAGAGTGAATCTAACGCTAATATGCAAAGCAATGTACTAAGAACGTACGTACTAAGCCGTACTAGGCAAGTGTTAGTTAATACCTCTTACCAGCCTATTTATTATATTAACACATTAAATATCTAAATAATTACATAAAATTACAAAGCTCCTAACTATTTGTGTTAATGCAAAAACGTGTTGAAAAATTGATTTGTGAGTTCTATTTTGAACGGCATAAATCTTCTACTTAATGATATACCTAACATATATCGATGTTACAAAACTATTTTATGGATAGTTAGCCAGGGAGAATAATTTGTTACAGCAATTTTTAATTCGTACACAAATAAATTAAATTTATCTTAACAATTTACAACGATGAGTGCCAATTAGCAGTTAGTTGAGCTGCTAAAAATTAAATATTTCTCTACCAACAACATTTTCAGCTCCAATTTGTTGTTGTCGCAATTTTGTTCAAAACCAAAATAAAACAAAACAAAACTTAACAATTCTCTTAGAGGAACTATAAATTCTTTTATTGATGCTACAAACGACAAATGATTTTATTTGCTTATCGTCTTGATAAGAAGACTAAATTGATAAGAAGCACTTCGCGTTTATGTGCGTTTATCATGAGCTTAAACCACAACGACGATCTTTTTGCACGATGGTCACACTAATGCATAGTACACTGAAAAAAATATTGTTTTCTTTCATATCTTAACGCAATAATGGAAACTTTATTAGGTATTAATAATCTTCATCAGGCAGACGTTGTAGATTGATCTACACAAGCCGCTCTAACTATTTCAGCACAAAACAGTGCTTATATAAGGAAACATAAGCTTATTGTGAAAGGACGTTGTATATTTATTGGTGTGTCTAAAGTACTCTACTTCTACTCGTGTTGAATATACAAAGCAAGCAAAATTGTGCGTTATTTATAGAAATATATAGTTGAAATTAGGTATGTATGTGAAAATTATTTAGTATCTTTACTTAATATCTTTCAGAAAAGCTTCGAGGTAATATGGAGATTGATTTTTAAAATTAGGAGAAGTTTTTCCAAAAAACTCTTTCAAAATATAATATTTTTCACATAAGTTTTTGAAATTATGCCTATATACATATTTAAAAATTTTACCTAATAATTATTATTATTTCCATACTCCATTAGGTGCTTAAGGAGTCTACCAAAGTTTTCCACTAGTTTATATTTTGTGCTATTGCTCTCAACTCGTTAAACGATTTACCCGTCTCCTGCTGAACTGTCCTTCTCCAGGTCATTGCTTGTCTACCTCTACGCCTAGTCTCCTGGGGGTTCAAAGTAAGGCTTACGCAGTGTGTGTCCAATCCAACCATACTTCTTTCTTCTTATCTCGCTGTTTACGTTTGTTTGGTGCGTTATTCTCCATAACTCTTCGTTTGAAATCGTTCTAGAAGATAAGGTGTTATGGCCTAATAATAGAAAATTATAATCTGCATCAAAGTAGAGATATTCGAGTTGATTGTTGATATATTAAAATCAAATTAAACATAACTCATGATTATAACTTGGTATACTTTTTTAGTGGCGGTCATGTAAACGGTATGTAAAAGGATTAAAGCTTCGAGAAAGGTGAAGATAATATCTTCGCTTATAAGTACACAAATTATAAAACAATTATATATAATACAATAATAATTTTATTTTTATTTTTTTTAAGAAGAAATTCATTATTTTTAATAATTAAAAATTGACTAATAATATAATAATTTAAATAAAAAGAAAATA